GCAGCCATTCATGAAAAGGGTGTATACGAAAGCTCAAGCAATTAAAGATTTTCAATACTCACGATAGTTGAAAATTCTTTCAATTTTGAGAGAAAATAAATATCACTCATAGTGTAAACCCTTAATTGTACTTGCATTGATACAACTACCAATATTAGTAGGAATAGATTACAATGACCAACTGTGCATTCACAGTAAAAAACTCAAATTACTCCAAGCCATTAGGCTTTTAGTGTGTGTGATACAAATTGGGATTGCCAGTTAAGAATTTAACTGGGAAAGCAGATGAATTTCTGTCTGTTGTTTCATGTCAAAACAGAAAATCCCTCCAAGTTTTTAACTGACTTACCACTTGCAGTAATGTGCGCTCAAAAGTTAACACTGCATCTGATTTGAAGACAGCACCAGCAGCTAATCCGATTGTCTCCTGCAGTGAGTAGAACTGCTACATGACAAAAAGGCAAAAATGGTAAATACAAGACATATTCTTCTCTATGGAAAAAATAACAATTCACAGATCAAACAATGAGAGTAATGTACTCACAGGGTATTTGTTGATGCTGTCATTAAATTTGCCTTCAACTTCCATCTGAAGCAATATAAAGTAAAAGTACTATTACTGTAAACCATGAAAGAACACTTTCAATTGGCATTGAGGAGAATGAGTGCACTATAGTGAGAGCACAAGCCTCCTTGTCAGTTCAATGTGACCTGTCCCCTGGCATTGAATTCTGGCCCTGGCATCAAATGCCGGTTCAGTTTCTTGTCAGCTTGTCCAGTTATCCTTCCTCCTCAACAACCAATACGCTGAATTCCAATTTGATCTAGTATGTGGTCCCAATTAGTACATGTAGTAAGCTTGCTAGAAGCTCAACACACTAAAAACTTATTTTGTTTATCACAGATTGCTTCTTCTTAACTCAACCTTCACTTAACTCCAGTTTCCAGGCGACAAGCAACTAAGACTAATGCTACTCCTCCTTGGTCCTGAAGGGGGTAGTAACTTATCATAGGGTACCCTCCCCCACCCACTCTGAAGCAAGTAGCCAATTATACACCTGGCCCCAGTTGTTCAGAGGGTTGATAACGCTACATGTATCCACTGGGTAAATCACTATCACAGTGGATAGCATGGTTTATTTTATCAACACTTATCCTCTAGATAGCAATTTACATGTATCCAGTTAATAGCGCTGGTTAAATTTCAACTACTGGGGTCTGGTTAGAAAGAAGCACTGTTTTAAAAGAGTAATGTTTGCTCAAACAAGTATCATAGGGTCCATTACTAGACAGTGCAGCTTCCACATTGTCCAATAAGAAATTTTTTTCTAGATGCTGCATAAGTTACCTTGAAATAATTCCAAATGTCAGGGTGAATGAAGTTATACAGATGATGATTGGTCTTTGCATGAGTATGTACAAACTGTTGGTATTCTTCTTGTTCCATCAACACTGCATTCTTTATATCCTGAAAACAACAAGACAACAAAACACAGTGTGGGCTAACAGAGAACAGTCAAAACTAAGCAGTGTGAAGCAATGAGTTTTGTTGAGGGAAGAAAACAAGGGATCTTGGAACATGACTGTTTACCAACAACAAACCAGACCAACATACATGTACATGCATGATGCTGGCTCCAAGATTTAACACTGGGCCACACTGGGCCTCTCTTGTGCAAGGCAACAGCTCTCAACTCTTACTATTAGGATGCAAGAATATCACTAGGAATCTCACATCAAATTATAAAATTATAAAGTGCAGTTTGATATTTACAGCACCGAGTGTCGCTACACAGCTTTCAAGAGGGATTCATCTCAGGTAAAACTACTAAATTTGGACTTCAAGTTTCGTATTAGTGTCAATTTACAGACTCTCTGTAGCTTTTTCCCAAGTTGTTATTAATACACTTTAGACTAGAAAATGCACCACTCACAAAATTTTAACACAACTTCATCCAGAGCTTAAGAGACTCAGAGGATATTGATTACATCATTTTTTGGCTTTTAAAAGCATGGTTGTTTGTGCAAACAGTCATTTTATTTATATGCTTAAACGAAAATGACACAGTAGCCTGAAGATATGAATTTTATTTTCATCTTAAAAACAATAGTTTACCACTCAAAACTATAGTTCAGATCTTTGGCCTCTGTGTAATCTCCTCAATGTATTAATTTAACTGTAATGCAGTCACAAACCTGAACAGCTTTCATTTCCTGCAAATCCATGTTAGCTAGCTGCCCAGATCTCAATGTCTCAAATACCTTGAAAAACATTTTCTGACTTTCAATGCTTATTTTTGAAATGAAAGGGAACTCCATGGCTGGACCAAGGCAAGCTGGGGCACTGTTTGATCTACTTTTCTCAGCACCAGTTCTCTTAGCTCCTTTGTTCATCTTGTACTCAGCAGCTTCTGGAGACCCCATGGTTATGTCATGTTGTGGCAAGCTATTTTCTTCATCTTTGTCGGGGCTAAGATGTTTTTCTAGGAACTCCACATAGGATGGCTGACATGAATGTTTCTTATAGTTTTCTTGAGTGAAAAAGACCTCATGTTGAGTTACTGAAGATGGAGTTTTTGGTCTGAAAGATAAAAAAAATAAATAAATAAATGTGTGGTTCCAGAAAATATTCATACCCACCCACAGAGGGTCATGGAAATTCTGAAGGGGTAGGGGCGTCTAAAAGAGGTAAATTTCCGAAGGGGAAAGGGGCTACTCAAAGAGTTCTTTGCAGTGGGTGTGAAATGCGATTGAATGAACACTACCGTACTTTCCCAATTGATTCAGGTAACCAAACCAACAGAAATGTACCATCCATTGAAATAAATGTTAGATTCTTTGTCATATATTTTCCAATTTTCTTGCGACACCGTATGACAGATGGCAATCCTGGAGTATCGTGTTTGTTGGACGTTGAGTTGAACAAAATACGGACGAAGAGTTGCAGCAACACATGAACAATGAAGTTGATGATATTTT